CGTGCCCCTGGTCGTCCGGGCCAACAAGCGGGTGGGTGGCCGTCTGTCCCTTCAGCTGCTGCTGGGGCTGTTCGCAGTGAAACTGTCCCTCCCCAGGGCCCCAAGGGGAAATCCTGATACCCAAAATCCACCTGCTCTTGCAAAATCTGATTTCTCAGGGCCTGCCTCCTCCAGTTTTCGTCAGGAGGCGCAGCTGCCATTGCCAGTGCCCCGGCTAACGACTTTTAGGAGAGCACCCAGGCAGCAGCCTGCAAAATCCCCAGGGGAAATACGTTCCCCAGGCAGGCGGCCAAGCGCATGCCTGGTGCTGTTTCCCATCAGCTTCCTGTGCACAATCCCTGCCAGGACCGCACAGGCAGGACAGGGCTCCTGCCAGCCGGCAGCGCTGCTCCTGGCGCCGCTCCCCTCCTGAGCAGCCGCCTTTCTCCCTTGCAGGATAAGAGCAACGCCCTGAGCACGGCAGAGCTGCGGGAGGAGCTGGCCCTGCACACACTCAGCGGGCAGCGGGAACTCTTCCTCCTGCCCACCAGCGCGACCTGGGACAGCCTGAGCACTGCCACCAGCGTCCTCCGTGTGAAGAGCCTGCTGGTCACCCTGCTCTCCCAGCCCTGAGCCCGCACGGGGAGCGGACAGGCTCCCATCCCCGGCACGGCTCCTCTTTCGGGGTCTGTGGCGCAAGGATGGGGGCAGCTGGGCAGGAGCCCTGGAGCTCAGACTCGCTGATAGCGGGCTGCCAGTCCTGGGGTGTTTGTTGCACCCCACAGAGCTTGGGATTGAGCTGCAGCATGGCTGTCCTCGGGGAACAAGAGAAGTGGGCTCTGCTCTCTGCCACGGGGAGAGGACAGCCGCCTCCCCCAGTTCAGGGATGAAGCCTCCCTTGGGATGGTGCCACGAGCACGGCTCTTACCTCCTGGTGAGCGGGAATGTGTGGCACAGGGCAGGGCCCCACACCTTCATGGCAGCCCTGCATGATGTTAAATGAATGGGACTGAACAAGCAAGGTAACCCTTTCACCCTCTGGCACAGACAGGTTATCCCAGGGGATGGGCTCTCCTCCCTGAAAAACATGAGGAGTTACTGCTGGTGCAGCCCTGCCAGTACAGCGCACACCAGTGGGAATAACCAGCTCAGGCTGTCCCTCACCGGGGCTGAGCACAGCTTTCAATTCCCCCAACTCTGTATTTAAAGCCCTGTTTGTGAGAGATGAAGGCAGGTATCGGGCAGCCCTGCACTGCCCCTTCACCCTGAACAGGGGTAAAGACGAGCTGCGCTCAGCAGGCGTTTGCCCCCCTGCCTGGTCTCCCTCCCTCTCAGCTGCCCCAGGGAAAAGGGGAAGGAGCCAGGCTCAGGTCCCGCAGGAAGCCCTGCCCACAGGCAGAAGGGCTGCTGGGTCAGGCCATGGGGCGCTGGGTTCTGGAAAACCTATCGTGGAAGCTGGGGAGCACATCGGGGAAAGGGGAGTATGCGCCTGCCGGTCTCAGCTGCAAAACCTTTTGTACAGTCGCTCCTTCCCTTTGTCAATAAAAGAGGCTGATCACTCTGCGCTGCCCTCCAGCTCCTTGGCAGGGAAGGAGTCCCCAGCCTGGTCTTCAGAGCTGGAGGCAGGAAGGTCGCTCGGGGAGGGAAGGAGGCAGCATGTGGCCCCGCTCCAGCCTCTGCTTACAGGGAAATCAGCAAAGGCCCAAGTGCTGCCCGCACCCCGTGGGCCCCCAGCCCCACACACACCCGATGCCCATGTCCCGCAGGTCGGCACCAGGAGCTCTCCGAAGTGGGACTGCACCCAGCAAGAGCCCATGAGCAAGACATTCACACCAGCTTGAAAGAGTAATTTATTTTAACAAGGCAAAAGAAGTGCCAACCGCCACACAGAAAGGGAGCGGCACAGCACATTCAGTCCCAACGCCACAAGCCAAGAGTCTTTCATGGCTGGTTATAACTGTCTTTTTCTAATGAAGGTCCTTCCTCCATCGCCAGAGGCTTTGCATAGCTCAACTTGTTGGTGCTGAGCCTGTGACTGTCACCTCTCTGTCAGTCCCCGCTCGGTTCAGAAGATGGTCACATCAAACCTGCACTTGCAGGCAAACCTGAGAAAAAAGGGCAGTCACTGCACATCCATCTTCTCCTGCTTGAGTGATGCAATGAAATCCTTGTACTCCTCAGGATAGAAATTCTTGTACACATTGATCTTTCTCTTAATCTGCTTGGGAGTATCCTGGTAGTAGTTCTTCTCATCTCGAGCCATTTCCTGTGACAACGGAAAGGGTAAGTCAGAGGAGTGGCCCCAAGACCAAACACCAATCCAGCCCAGCCACACTCCAAAGGCCCACCCAGGCCGGCTGTGATCACTGCATGACTCAGACAGGGATCTGGCCAAGGTTCAAAGCGCTGCTTCCCCTTAACAATCAGGTGACTGCAAAACAGGATCCAGGACAGAAAGGAGTAGCGATTCCCATCCTGCAGAAGATCCAAGAGTGAATCACTCTGGGTGCTCCTCGCTCTGGGACAGCCAGTACTTACCTTGTAGTTCTCCCCGTGGTTCTGTATCATGTACCGCACGTAGTCAATGAGATCTCGTGAGAGCGTGTTTGACTTCTTCTCGGGGAGACTTGCCTCATATTCCATCTCTAGGCAGAGGACAGAGACTCCATGAAGCAGGGGAGGGAAGCAAGCAGCACCTCAGAGGTCCCCAGTCTCTTCCCAAGATTGAGCCCTGCCAGTACTGCAGAAAGGACGTGGCTCCTGCAGCACAGCTCCACTGCTTGCACACACAGGGCTGCTTCCCGGCACGATCATGCAGGAAAATGAACAAGACAACAGCCCTCCGCATAGGCTGCAAGCATCCAGGCCTGCGCTGCGGCTCCTCTCCAGCTCACACCACGAGGAGCGGAGCCTTTCTGCCCAGGCTGCAAAGCGTGACTGTTCAGAGCTGCCCAGCCCACCACCAAAACACGTGGGGTACTACAGCCAGTTTCTTGTTACCCTGGTGCCACACACCAGCATGTTTCAGAGTGACAAGAGGTCTCCTGGGGCTGCAGGTAGAAATACTGCAAAAAAGGCAGCACAGGAGGGAAAAGGAAATTCATGAGACAGAGGACACATGGGAACAGCAGAGCTGCTGTCCTGCCTCCCAGCTCAGCTCCACCCTGGCTGGGAACCCCCAGCTGACTGCTGCCGGGGAGTACTCCTCTACAAGCCCACAAGCCTGGACAAGAAGTAACCCCTTCCCTGCCCCTGGTACAGCACTGAGATGAGAGACAAAATAACCCACAGGGCCTTGGGAGAACCCCAAGTGCAATGGCAGTGGTGTGGTTC